TCTTTTATCTACACTTACATGAAGAGTACTATGTTTACTATGCTCTCCCCTATATCAGGTCCCCCCTAACAACCACGTTACGGTTACTGTCCATCAGCTTAGCAAAATGTTGTAGAATCCCTTTTTGTGGTATTTCTATTTTGAGCTTTTTGAGGAACTTCCATACTGCTTTCCACAATGGTTGAACTAGTTTACATTCCCACCAGCAGTGTAGGAGGGTTCCCCTTTCTCCACATCCTTGCCAACATTTTTGTTTTCTTTTGTATGTTAGCCATCCAGCAGGTGTGAGGTGATATCTCACTGTGGTTTTAATTTGCATTTCTCTGATAATTAGCAATATGCAGCACCTTTTCATGTGTCTGTTGGCCATCTGAATTTATTCTTTGGAGAAGTGTCTGTTCAGATCCTCTGCCCATTTTTTAATTGGCTTATTTGCTTTTTGTTTATTAAGGTGTCTGAGCTCTTTATATAATTTGGATGTCAACCCTTTACTGGATATGTCATTTATGAATGTATTCTGCCATACTGTAGGATGTCTTTTTGTTCTACAGATGGTGTCCTTTGCTGTACTGAAGCTTTTTAATTTGATGCAGTCCCACTTTTTCATATTTGCTTTTGTTTTGCTTGCCTGGGGAGATATGTTCATGAAGTTGCTCATGTTTGTGTCCAAGAGATTTTTGCCTATGTTTTTTCTAAGAGTTTTATGGTTTCATGACTTACATTCTGGTCTTTGATCCATTTTGAGTTTACTTTTGTATATGGGGTTACACAATAATTCAGTTTTATTCCCCTACATGTAGCTGTCCAGTTTTGCCAACACCAGCTGTTGAAGAGGCTGTCATTTCCCCATTGTATACCATGGTTCCTTTATTGGATATTAATTTACCATATATTGCTTGGGTTTATATCTGGGCTCTCTAGTCTGTACCTTTGATCTATGGGTCCATTCTTGTGCCAGTACCACATTGTCTTGATTACTGTGGCCTTGTAGTAGAACTTGAAGTCAGGGAACATAATTCCCCCCACTTTACTCTTCCATCTCAGGGTTGCTTTGGCTATTCAGGGTCTTTTGTGGTTCCATATGAATTTCAGAACTATTTGCTCTAGTTCAGTGAGGAATGCTGTTGGTATTTTGATAGTGATTGCATTGAATCTGTAGATTCCTTTAGGCAGGATGGCCATTTTGACAATATTAATTATTCCTATCCATGAACATGGAATGTGTTTCCATTTATTGCTTCTTTAATTTCTCTCATGAGTGTCTTGTAGTTTTCAGAGTATAAGTCATTCACTTCCTTGGTTAGGTT